CTTGTGTTGTTTTCTTAAAATGACGCTACATCCGCTTTTACACTAGTCAGAAATGGCTTCAGATTTGCGTATTTATCTGATGCTTTTGACATGTAGGGTTGCCGAGGGTATGTACATACTATTGAACTACATCAGTATATTTTGACTCCTTACAAAATATATTCAAAACATCCAAATTATTTTTTTTTTATAATTTAAAAATATACACATTTACATACAAAGAGCTTGGCCACGTTATAGAAATGAATCCTGATATACCTGCCAAAAAAGCTTTGACATGGATACTATAGGGAAAAAGAAAAAAGGTCACCCAGAAACAACATGGAGACGAACTATGGAAACTGACCTGAGTGCGGTATTTCTAGGATGGAAAACTGCTCTGAAGATTGCACAGGACAGGAAAGCATGGAATGTCCTCTCTGAAGCCTTATGTGCCACTAGGCATAAAGAGAACTGATGATTATGATATATAAATTTATCTCTATAATAATGCATCTGACAAGATACAACCAAACATTTAAGGCAATACCTGTGCATTGTATTGTTTATGTTCGCATTGTTTCAGTATTTATCTCTATAAGGTTGTTGTGTCAGTGGCTGAAGAAATAAGGCGTTTGCCTGGCGCTTTGAGAGAAAAAAAAAATGGGTTCGTTTTCGTACTCCATTGTTAGTTTCTGGATCATGGGTGTTTTAGGAATCTGAGCGCTGTCTCCTGAACCACAATGAATCTATTTTTTGCTATGCGCTGTCTGGGAGACCATCTTATCTGCCACTAGATATCTAGCCAAATGATTTGAAATCAAATGAAGTAAAGTCGATATTAAGGCTTTTAAACATTCTTTTTCTTGTATATGCAAATGTGATAAAGTTAATATCATGTAAACCATGACCAACTACAAACCATTCATTAACCTAAGTACTGCAAACTGCACACTACAAACTACAATCTACAACCATTAACTTAAGTACTGCAAACTACACAAGACAAACTACGATCTACAAACATTAACCTAGGTACTGCAAACTACACAATACATACTACAATCTACAACCATTAACCTAAGTACTGCAAACTACACAATACAAACTACAATCTACAATCATGAACCTAGGTACTGCAAACTGCACACTACAAACTACAATCTACAATCATTACCCTAAGTATTGCAAACTACAAACTATAATCTACAATCATTAACCTAAGTACTGCAAACTACACACTACAAACTACAATCTACAATCATTAACCTAAGTACTGCAAACTACGCACTACAAACTACAATCTATAATCATTAACCTAAGTACTGCAAACTACACACTACAAACTACAATCTACGACTAACTACATACAAAATACATGCTATACGCTACAGACTAAACACTTCAACCTCTAAGCTACAAACTGCATACGGTAATCTTATATTTACAACCGGCATTCAAAAACTACATAATTTCACCCCCCCCCCTCCCCCACACACACACAGAAATTGAAATGCGGATCGGGCGAGCCTCAACACGCCTCATCCACAAATTCCGGGACCCCTGGATAAGTATAACATTCTCTTAGACAATATAATCCACTCATCTTTCTAAGATATTTATCGTCGTCACAATCACACAAAAACTATTCACTAAGTTATCAGCATTATATTTATTTGTGTGCAAATATACAGATGTGTGTCAGAGAATGTTTTCCAATTACCAGAGAAGACAACCACCGCTTTTTAACTTGAATATGACGGAAACGATCTGTGTACATGATTGACATAGAAGAAGAAACATAAGGAGTTTTTACAAGACGTTAAAGAAAACACTAACAGCCTGAATGAGAGTTGCAGCTCACTGCTGGTGCAAGTAGTTAGTTACTATGCGCTGTTGTGGTTGTGTAATTCATATATTCATCGCCTGGGCCATGAGTACAATGACATGGTGCCTGCACCAGAAGAACCCTTGTCTTCTCTTTACTTTGCCTCTTTTTTGCATTCCAAGCAGTAATACACAAGCAGTAATTGTCTCAGACTCAATGAATATGCTTCAGAAAATAGCAACTGGCAGTATGCGCTCTGAATGGATAGAAAGCATTCGGAAATCGCACTTAACTTCCGTAACCTGGATCTACACACCGGGTCATGCGGGCGTAAAGGGAAATGAGCGAGCGGACCAACTGGCAAGCACAGCACTAATGATTGCGGGAAAAAGCATGGACAGAGCAGATATCGTTAACGCTGTACGTACTGGGCTAGTGGATAATATCGAATCCCTGACACTAACACGATTGCGTGACATGGGAGTTAAGCATGGTGAAGCACGTCTTTGCCGTCTGCGAGGCCGAGAAAGGAGACAATATAACCAGCTTCTCATGGGGACAATTAGTAGAAGTACTTTGGAGTGGCTGCTGCTTCGGAGGACTGCGCACGCATGGGTATGCCCAATGTGCAGTGACGTCGATTGTGATAACAAAACACAAAATAACATTTTGTAGGAAGTCGGCATTCCGAAACCCAAGTTCAAGGTGTCTCCTTCGTGCCAAAGAACTGCATGGCTGTTGGGTGAACAGTCGTTAACGAAGGCAGTCAGGTCGTTGTGGGGGCGACGCCTGCTGGTGGATGTAATGTCCTAAGTCCCTTTCCCAGCTAATAGTGAGGGTACTGCTGGGGTGACCATTTGTTAACCCCTCACATAATGCTTCAAGTCACAGTGGACGCTAGGCACGGCCACTTTTTTTTTTTTTTTTAGCCGTGGCAGTTCTGCCAGGCGGTGGCCGTTGCATTTTTTGCTCCATTTGTAGACTGGAAGGATATGGTTTCGTCACCCAGCTTCTGAGTTGAGTGCATGGTGTGACACTGTGAGCTACGAGTGTTTTTCGTTGGCACAGGAGCGGAGCAACAATGGGGTGACCCGTTTGCTATGATGCTGAAACTAGGATTACCAGATTACCAGATTGCATTCCAACGAAAACTGCTTATTGTCCTACTTATATTTCTTTCCTCGCCTCCCTCCCTACTGGTGGCGGGGGGGGGAGGAGCGTGGGGGGGGGGTCGCTGCCCGCTAGCTCAGATATATAATGTTTCTGTCTTTTTCTTACAGTGACGTCTGTAAGTAAACAGGGACAATTTCCATTAAAAGACTGTCTAAGTGATGATATGAACTTGTTGTCGCTATTGGATTATGACCTCGATCAGACTTGGGTAGAGCAACATCATTTGACAAGATATCTGTATTACGAGCTGTCACGACTCACTTCACAATTGGCTGTTGCTACAGTGGTTGACCAATTTAACGCTGTCAACGAGACCACAAATATTCGTGACTGGCGCTTTAATACATTTCAGGACGACGGAGAACCATTCATGATGGGAGATACAGACACTTTAGAGGTGCCCATCATAGATTTGAGGACACGCCTGAAGATGAAAGTAGAAGTTGTTAAACGTTTGTTTGCTGAAATGAGCGGAGTTAGACTGAATGCAGTTCATGTTGCAGTTATCTTTCTTGACGGTAAAAATATGACACAGGAAGAAATCGGAAACGTGCCTTCCATTGTACAAAACATCAGTGCAGACATAAAAATCTTTACAGTGATATTTGGTAGCAAACTTACAGAGGAAATTGTACACATGACTGACACTCTTGTGTTACCAGACAAGGATCTCAGTTACTTTGATCAATATCTATCGATGGCGATATGTAAACAGTGCTACGAGGGTTGGGTTCTCTTTGAACATAAAAACGACGTCAATATGCTGTCATGCTATGGAACAAGCATTGTCAAAGACTCGTGGAATAATGCAATGTCTAACTGCAACAAATATTACAATGGCTATTTAGCAGTAATTGAAACTTTAGCAGAGATGATTTTTGTTCAGAAGCAAATTTGGCTAAAACTTAAAGAGAGTAACTCTTCTGATGTCCAGTTTCACATCGGCCTGCGTAGAGACTTGAATAACTATGCGAAAAGATTTATGTGGATGACCAATCCAACAAGTTTTCGTCCCTTATTAATCCAACATTGGCTGCCTGGTCAACCTTGTAGAGAATGTATCAACAATGACTGTGTGTTGTGGAATTTTACAGATCACTGGGCACATGATAATGACAGCAACAACACATTACAAAATGACACTTACGTCAAAAACACTACAAGTGAAGGTTGGGTTAATGTTAATTGTCATGCTGCAACAACTTCCTCAGCACTTTGTGAAGTTGCTCTTCCTAGAAGAATTAACGAGGTAAATTTTATCAGCAGTGTAGGCGCTTCAACAACAGATACTAACGTTACAAAAGAAAAAGTAGATTTTGTCATCTATGCTGGAAATATTGTGTCGATATCTGCAAACGTTCCCAACCCCAATTTTCGTCATTTTCTGATAAATTCAGAAATAGACTTTCCTATCTTTGACTGCGGAGAAGACGCCAGTAATCCAAGATATATTTCCTATAACATGGTCTGTGATTTCTTTGATCACTGCAGCAACAAAAGAGATGAGCTTCTTTGTTTGAATCCACGGGAATATTCAGATTATAGAACTTACTGCACATCCGGACAAATGCTGTACAGCGAAGAGAATAAGTGTGACAATGTCAAGGACTGTCGGGACGGAAGTGACGAGGAAAACTGCTTTGATACCTATTGTACAAGTGTACGATGTCAAGATGGTTCTTGTCTACCTCTACAGTGGGTCAACGATGGAGAATTTGACTGTTTTATTTTCACGACTAGTTCCTCAAAATTAATGGTGAGCGATGAAGTTGATACTGCAAATTTTTCTCTGGCTAATAACAATAGTTGTGTATTATCGTCTAACAGTGACCAGTGTATAGAGGAATCTCAGCTCAGTAAATGGTTAAAAGACTGTATAGGTCTTGAAACATACCTAGCTGATACCTTAGGAAAGCCGGAGCCAGCAAACACTTGTAAGAATAGCTTTGGGAATTTTATCTGGGCACCGAAATGTCATTATATCAAAGACAGATACGGCGGTATCGTCGGATGCAGAGATATGTCACATCTTATAGACTGTGAGAACTTTCAGTGTCTTCAGGGATATGTGAAATGTTATAACTCGTACTGTATCCCACATTATTATCTTCGTGATGGAAGAACTGACTGTCCTACAGGAGAGGACGAGCAACCGTTTTACACTGGTCCATGTACTGGATATTTTGCTTGCTGGAACAGCAACATCTGTCTTCATCCTGCCCTACTTTGTGATGGACATCCTGAATGTCCGTATGGGGATGATGAGCTTGGCTGTCGAGAGTTTTGTCCTAAAGGTTTTCGGTGTATTTCAGGGACAGTGTCACTGACAGATTATAACAGATCAATTCCTTTAGACATGACCACTTTGTCTCGTATAGATCCACGGCCCAGATACATGGACCTCTCTGGAATAGAAATTTATGGATTTGACAATTTCATGCCTGAAACCAGAGAAATATTTTATAACTTACTAGTGCTTATCATGTCTAATTGCAAGCTTAGTAAATTATATATTCCATACGATTCTAAATGGTTTGGAAAGAATCCCCCCTTTTCTATCCAAAAACTAGACATTAGCTACAATATGTTTGAACAATTTTCTAAGCATTATTACAACCATTATTATAAACGAATACATTATCTTAATATGTCTTACAATAAACAGCTTAAGTCAGTGGGAAATCTACGATTCGGTTTTTTAGAAATACTTGATTTTTCCTATACAAGTTTGTCTTACCTAAACGATTCAGTGTTTGTAAATTTGCCCAGACTAAAACATCTCAACTTGAGCCATACTTTGATTTCAGATTTTACTAGACAATATTTCCTCTCAAAAGCATCACTACACACGCTCGACTTAAGACGTATTCACACAAAAGATCTCGACGACTACTTATTTCATGGTCTAACCATTAGCCAGGAGTTGTATGTTGATCACTTTAAGATCTGCTGTCCTCAGATTCAAGGATTGGTAATTAAACCTCGTGCGTGCATTGCTCCTGTAACTATAGACGCTATATCTTCGTGCTCTAATCTGCTAGGATTTGATATTCAGCGATTTCTTCTCTGGATGGTTGCAATTCTCGCAGTTCTGGGAAACGTGACGGTCATTGTGTATCGTGTAACTTGGGATAGGTCAGTTCTCCAGACAGGATACGGTCTGTTTGTGACCAACTTAGGTATATCTGACTTCATCATGGGAGTCTATTTGTTCATAATTGCTGGGGCTGATTCTTTCTACCGTGACAAGTATGTTCTCTATGACAAGAGCTGGAGAAACAGTGTTGAATGCAAGATCGCTGGTTTTATGGCTTGTCTTTCATGTGAAGCATCGACGTTCTTTGTTTTCCTGATCACTCTCGACAGATTTTTGGTGATAAAGTTTCCATTCGGTCAAGTAAAGTTTACGTGGTCTCACAAAACTATCGCAGTTGTGATGTCTTGGGTGGCCAGTGTCCTACTTTCACTTGTCCCCATTGTTTTGAACTTTGACATCTATTCTTCTAACGCGATGTGTCTCGGCTTGCCTTTAACAAACTCACAGGCTAAAGGTTGGGAGTACTGTGTGGCAGTTTTTATAATTTTTAACCTGATCATGTTTGTCTTTATTGCATGTGGTCAATATGCGATCTTTCGTGCCATATCAGAGAACAGAATATCTAAAACAGCAGCCAACATGATATCTTCACGACGAGCTGAAGATATAACAGTAGCCAAACAACTGTCTCTTGTAGTTCTGTCTAATTTTCTTTTCTGGTTTCCTGTGGGAATTATGGGACTGATGTCACTTGGAGGTCATGAGGTCAGTAGTGAGGTTTATGCATGGACAACGGTTCTCCTTTTGCCCATAAACTCCGCTGCAAACCCTGTGCTGTACACTATTCCTGCCCTACTGGAGAGATGGGAGCAGTTTAAACGTGGGGATCAAAGGACACCTTCTGCCTATGTGTAACACCGGCCCTCGTTTTTAAAATGCTTACTTTGCTGGGTATTTACAGCCAGGACATACACTTAAACATTTTATTCATGTTCTAAATTGTTTTATAGTGACAAATACAAACTTGGAATATACATTATTATTATATTATTATTATTATTATTATTATTATTATTATTATTATTATTATTATTATTATTATTTTAGAAATATCATAACTCATAAGCCATCGGATTTTTTGTTATGACCGGCTCGCTAGCGCAGTTGGTTAAAACCCTGAGCGCTACCACCGTGTGACCAACTCCTTGTGGTCCGGGTTCGTGTCCGGATGGTAGGCAGAGAAACCACATTTCTCCCAGATTTACAGTATCTGTCATGGAATCAAGGTCGAGGAGTTGCGATATTTATAGTACCGAGCCAAAGAGTTAACAACTAATGGTTTCTGGATACTTAAAAAAATGGTTAAGTTATAATCAGTTATACAACTCCTCAATATAGGTCTATAGTTAGCTAGTTAGTTAGTTAGTTAGTCAGTCAGTCAGTCAGTCAGTCAGTCAGTCAGTCAGTCAGTCAATCAATCAGTTAGTTAGTCAGTCAGTCAGCTAGTCAGTTAGTTAGTCAGTTAGTCAGTCAGTTAGTCAGTCAGTTAGTCAGTCAGTTAGTTTAGTTAGTTAGTTAGTTAGTCAGTTAGTCAGTCAGTTAGTTAGTTTAGTTAGTTAGTCAGTCAGTCAGTCAGTTAGTCAGTCAGTCAGTCAGTCAGTTAGTTGGTCAGTTAGTTAGTCAGTCAGTCAGTTAGTTAGTCAGTCAGTTAGTTAGTTAGTTAGTTAGTCAGTCAGTTAGTTAGTTAGTTAGTCAGTCAGTTAGTTAGTTAGTTAGTTAGTCAGTCAGTTAGTTAGTTTAGTTAGTTTAGTAAGTTTAGTTAGTTTAGTTAGTTTAGTTAGTTAATAGATCGATTATCCTCATCGCCCATCCGATATGTTCATAAGTGCTCAGATCCCATTTTTAGTATATTCCTCAGCGTGTAGAGAAAGATCACACCAGTTCTGTGTTATATCAATGTGTTTAGTGCGGCTGCTGGTATTTAATTTATGATAATGTGAGTGTTTTAAAGAGATTAGCACCTAAAATCATATTGTTAGATCACTTGACTTTAGTCACATCCATGTTTTTAATGGTTTCAATTTGAGGAGCAGTTTCAACAACTTTGCTTCGCATAGATGCCAAGTTGACTTGTAAATAGTTTTCATACTGGGTACAATGATTAGTTTTTGTCTACACTTCGGGTCAAAATGCAAGGAATAAAAAATATGAAAGTTAAAATAAACGAACACAATGCGTCGGTTCAGAATGTGAATCAGGTGAATTACATTAGCCACATGAAGAACGTGATGGTCTCATAATTCAGTAACATGTTTAAGACGTGCCAGCGTATGACAGACGGCTGAACAGATAGGAGAATAATAAACAGAGGTGACAAAAAAGCGACTGGTGAGTAATGCAGATCCGTTAAGGCAACGTCATAAAACAGCAGTTTTCCCGTGTTCAGTTTGTGAAGGCTGAGATGGCTTGGTCACACCTGGAGAATGAGGGGGTGGGGCCGCGGGGGTGGTAGAGTCCCTAAAAATATCCTCTTTTTTTTTTGCGAATTTCAGATGAGTAGAAGTAGAGCTTGTAAACCTACTCGATAAAACATTAACCAAGTACGGCATAGAAATAAATACAGAAAAAAAAGGTGATGACTAATAATCCAGCATGCAGAATTTCACCAATCTTCATTAAAGTTCACAAATTAGAACATGTGACTCATTTCAAATGTTTAGGATCCATTTTAAGTGACTAGGTGTTAAGACCAGAAATCATGTCTAGGATTGCTAAGACAACATCAGTCCTTGCCAAGCAGTAAACATTATGGAAATCTAAAAACATTTCAGGCAAACTAAGATTCGATTGCTCAGAGCACTAGCAATTAGTACAATTACATATGGCTGTGAAACGTGGAGCTTAACAGCTGAACGCGAAAGAAAGATACAAGCATTAGAAATGCAACGTTTTAGAAAAATTCATGGCATATCATACAGAGACCACATTAAATTATGCAGCACATTGGCAACTACAGTTAAAAAGTAGAAAAATGCAATGGTATGAACATGTAATAAGATCTAAAGGCCTCTCAAAAATAGTACTGCAGGGCTCAGTAGAGGGAAAGAGTAGAAGAGACAGATCAAGAAAACCTGGTTACAGAACCTGACAGACTGGACAGACCTCAGGACATGCAACCATGATGTCCATTGCAACTGACCGCCAAAGGCGGAGAGAGCTGATCAGACAGTCAACAGAAAATGGTGACCCAGCGAAACGTAGTGTTACGGGAGGATGATGATGATGAGAAGATGGGAGTTTGGTCTCTACCACAATATAAAGATTGTGCAAACGGGATATGAATGATACAAGTACTGATGTAGATTCGTAGAAACAAAACGCTATGGACCGTGTTAAGAAGAAACGAAAACATTTCGAAAGCGAATAGGAATCAAGGGGATAAAATTGATTTCAGAAAGGGTGGGAGCTGAGCGTCTGAGAAGAAACACGCTAAATGCAGGTGATGGCAACAGCGTTCCTGAAATCCCAAGCTCTAATTGTGGATGACATTTTGGGCGGGTCTAGCTGGTAAAAGTCGCCATCGCCATAGGCTGTGATTTTGACGCTTCCACATAACACACTATAACACTATCGTCTAGAAAGAAGGAAAGGTGTCAACATTACAGACAACCCTCGCTGTGTAGACGCCACCATATTGATGTATTGAAATATACGTATCATTCCCCCTGCATGGGAGTTTGTTTTCTTTATATGTTATTCAATATATATTGGGAGTGGAATTCGCTACATGTTTGCTTGCAATTTTCTTAATCACAGAACGTAATTTTAACTAATAAATGGTTGATGTCACAATGTACTTTTTATTTTTTATGTTCCCAAATGTTAAATCGCTAACTTCTGTCTTAAAGTTTTAAACATATATGCACTATGTGTTCATATTTCTGTCTACGAAACTGCCAAATGTTATAGCTTTGACTGACAGTTTGATGACCCTGTGACACAGCCAGCCATACCCTACATATCAAATCAACAAGATACATTAAAGACAATATGATCATGGTATAAAAAGTTACTTTTTAAGCACCCGTGTTGATCATGCCATGCTGCAAACACCAGAAACAGACTCTGTGACTAAGAACAGCGGTCTGTAAATGAATAATGAAATTAGACAACCATATAAATAGCTATGCTAACGAGTTCTTCGATCATATGACGATGAGAAAGGCATTAGAGAACATCGTGATCCCCGGAAAGATCAACAGTAGAAGAGACAGAGGCAGACCAAGAGAGACGATGTTTGACGATCTGAAGCGATGGCATAGAGGAATTTCATAGGTGGCATTTATTCACACACACACACACACACACACACACACACAAACAAAGACCAAGATCTGTGAAGGGACAGGAGCTCCTACGCAGCTGGGCATGGCACATGATGATGTATGGACTACACCAAATACTTTATTGGGTACCACACTGTCCGAAATCTTTTAGCACCAGTGGACTTACCATAGGTGTTTTGCTTACTCACTATATAGTGTACATTGTTCAGTCATTCATTCTATCAGTTTCTTTAAAACAGTATTCTGTTTTATCAACGTGGCTCTTGCTTCCAGTTTTCTGTGAACCTCTTATGCCAACTACAGCAGTTGTTAATTTGGTATTGTCTGTTGAATAAATAAAGTTCTGTAAAATAAGTAAAAAACAAGATTATATTTGGAATTTTATTATCGTATTTTCATATTTTTAGGTCATGTTTTGTCATTTGCACAACATAAATGCCATATTATTGCACGATTTATGGAATTAATGTACTCTACGTACGCCCCCACCCATTACAGGTACCAAAGTAATGCTTTAAAAATGATCATAGACCAGCAACACACGAACGGCCCATCAGGCATATAATGCTGGACGTATATTTGTAGACCAATCGTTAAAAAAAAAAAAAAAACAGGATGGGTCATGTGATCACGTTACTTCAGCCGCATTTACTTCTCACTACATTACCTTTTACAGGTTTAAGGCCAGCTTGGTATGATAGCCTAGGTGTTCTACATATAGGATGTGATATGCAAATTAAATTCTTGCATTACGTTTATGTTTGGAATATATATATATATATATATATATATATATATATATATATATATATATATGTGTGTGTGTGTGTGTGTGTGTGTGTGTGTGTGTGTGTGTGTGTGTGTTTACATTTCTAATTTTTATTCACTTGATTTGAAAATGAAATTTATCTGTGTATTTACATGCAAACTGGCAATCTAATCTAGTCCCTGGCCCAGAGCAGGGCTGCCAATACTTGTGTTTTTCCCCATAGATATTGACTTTTTATATGACGCCTTGGGATCAGATTTTCAAATACTTTTTTTTTTCTTTTATTCCTGTACAAAAGTAGGTAAATGTTTCGTTTCTTAACAATGTAATTTGTACTTTTATCAATCTATGGTTTTTGTTTTTGGTTTTGTTCGTTGCTTTGTATTGCTTGGGTTTTTTGGTCAGCTTATCTTGGGATTTATAAAAAAAGTCGCATTGGCAGCCCTGACGCAGAGAAGAGAAAAGGACAGGGATGCCAATGCTTGGTTTTTTCCCCAAGATCTTGGTTTTTTAGTTGCCGTCTTGGTTTCTTGGTTTTTATTTTGAAAATTATTGAAAATCTTGGGTTTTCTGTCTTAATGATGAAAAAAAAAACTACAATTTATAAATATTCTAACAAGAATAATTGTGTACACATATCTATAATAGTTTTACCCGCAAATTATATTTTGGAATGTCCTACAAACACTTGTGTAATTAATGTAACAGAATACAAAGGTTAACTCCAGGGCTATTCAGGAAAACAGACCACCAAAGGACAGATTTATGATCCCCAAGTAGTGTCCCTTAAGTAACAGATA